GAGGCAGGTGCTATTATTGCCACCATTTTACAGATAAAGAAACTGAGATTCGGAGAGGTAGTGAGAGTCTGAGAGATGATTTCAATGTTGGACTTGCTGATGTCAGGTTATCCATTGTGCCATGTTGAATAGAATTAAGAGAATTCATGCTACATTTGAAGTCAGATAACGTGGGTTCAAATCTAGGATCTTCCACCTTGCTACATGTAATCTTGGGTAGACAAAATGAGTGGGAGAGGTCCAACTGACCTTTAAGATCTCTGGAAGCTTTAGATCAATGATTTGAGCCTTCTGATGGAAGTAGATGAAACACTGTGATGATAAAACCATTCAGTTACAATCTAGCTGCATCTCAGATGTTGCTATTGTTCTGAAACTCCATCTGATCACCCTACAGGGAAGTTTGAGATTCCCAAGAAAAACACCTGGGATTTCATCTATTTGAAAATAAATCAGAAGACTCTTTGGTGGGGGGTGGGGAGAGAGAGAAGTGTTTATTCTTACTGGGTTCTAATCTCACTGAAATCTAACCTCTGGATCAGGGTACCTTGACTTTATAGACCTCTGAACTGACTGAATTAACTTTCAAAGATCAATACCTGGTCACATATTACCTGTGTCCCCCTCCCCATTTTTGTCATTACTACAATCCCCTGACATCCTAGAAACAGCATATATACACTCTTTACTTTCTTACCAGGGCTTCCACACAATCCAAAAGGGTGTATTTTTTAGCATCAATACATAAGAGAAAATATGTAAATTTAGAAATAACATGCAAAGGTATGGCTGCCAAGGTCTGTATAAAATAATTCCATGCAGGCTGGGAAATTGCCAATTGAGTGGTCAATACTAAACTATACAAAATATCAAGCTGAGTCCTTCCCCCTGCAAGTCTCTTCCAGGGTTCTTGAGCACATTCTGACATGCCCCCAATGCCCCAAACACAAACAGCAGAACTTCTCAACTCAGTGTATGTGCCCCTCATCCATAATATGGAATTCACTTACCTGAGTGCTTCTGGTAGGGTTTATTCAAACTCTCTACAATCCCATATTCATTCTCAGGCCAGAGGAAGGGTTCCCTTAGGAGATTTGGGGTTTCCAACCATACCATCCTACTTAATCAGTATGTAAATTACTAGATTTGTTATTGCTCAGTCATTTCAATTGTGTCTGACTCTTCATGACCCCATTTGGGGTTTTCTTAGCAGAGATACTGGAATAGCTTGCCATTTTCTTCTCAGCTCATTTTACAGATGAGGAAACTCAGGCAAACGGGGTTAAGTGACTTGCCCAGGGTCACATAGCTATTAAGTGTCTGAGGTCAGATCTGAACTCAGGAAAATGAGTCCTCCTGACTCTAGGCCCAGCATTCTACCCACTGGGTCACCTAACTGCCCAAATTACTAGATTGCAGAATCACACATTTTAAGGCTGGAAAAGAACTTAAAGGTCACAAGTCCAACCCTCTCATTCAAGAGTTATCTTTTGTATGGCTTTGCTGAAAAGCATATGACTTTGTGATAGTTGTAGATATGTCATTTACCTTTTCTCTGCCAACCTGTTGAAAAGTAAATGACTGTATTCCATCCAAGTTGAATATACTTTTTCTAAACTCATAAAATTTGTTGATCTACTAAATTTATCTGATATTGACAACTTCCTATCTTTTGTACTAGAATAGGTTTGAAGGAAAGGGCCTGATGAGACTCTTATTTTGCCAATAAAAACAATTCTGAGTAGACTTTGAAGACTAACAATTATTCAGTTGGCGATAGGAATACCCCCATAAAACTATGCTGCTTTGTAGTGTTATATTTATAGCAAATAGGAGCCCATCTAGAATTCATCCTAGGTTTAAAAGAAACTTACAAACTTTTCCATCAACATGATGTTTTTGTCTTTTGTCAAAGATAGAGGAGTGATGTCTCTAATAAAGGAGATCTGAAATATGTCACACCCAAATTTTGTGATACTGATGTGCAAACCGGTTCACCTAGCCAACGTATCATGCTTTCCTTTAAGCTATGGTAGTGAAGCTTTTAAGAAATCAGGGCCTACGTGTTTATCTTTAAAGATAAAAAATGTGACCTACATGACTCTTTGTACTATCAGTAGTCCTTAATAACAATTTTATGGCCCCTCGAAATGTAATTCATTAGACACTTCTCCTGCTCTAGAAGCAAGGTGGTTGAAGAGTGTGAGATGTTGGGTTGTTTTTCACATGGCTTTGATTATTATCTGTACATAGTGGAAAAATCCCTGTTGTAGTGAGTGGAATTAGCCATTTGGGTTGTCTTTGCCTCCTATGTGAATCACTGTATTGATCTGATTAAATCATTGTCAAATATATCAAGTCACTCAGTCATGGCAAACTTACCCTCTTGACTGAACTGGCTGGGAATATTCCCTGAGAGCTTTTCTTTTCATTTTTGGGGGAAAATAAGTAGGGGGAGAGTTTAGTTCTGTAGGCTCCACATTGCAGTAAACCAGCCTCTTGCCTTTTCAGCTACCCACGGTGCATCATCGTGGCTGCCAAGACTTCTTTGGAAGAAAACTCTCATCTCCATCATGTTTGCTCAGCAGGGCCCAAAGTGAAAGCAGGGAGGAAAAAAATTACCAAGTAGAGGGTTTTGTGCTGAGGAATTACAGCAGGATATCCTTCTTAAACTTTTTTTTCATGGAACCACAAGGAGCAAGTTCATCCCATTTTAAAGAAATACCCAGTCAGCACTCAAAGGTGAAAAAAAGCGATTTATTTTAGTTTACTTCAGTTTAGTTTGGAGATCTTGAATTTCATTGGCATGAAGAACTCCCAGAGAAAAAATTCCTTCTACCAATGCAGGTTGGCATTTTATTTTCCCTAACTTAGAGTTTTCAAAATATGTACTTCTAACAGTTATGTGAGTTTGATGACACATTGAAATTGCAGGGAATTCCAAAGGTACTGGAATCAAGGGGAAATCCCCAAAGGTTAGAAAATATACCTCTAATTGGTGTTAAAGGGAGAAAAGATGAGAAGACACATTTTGCTAGTTGCCAAATTAAGGATGCAGAAAAGTTCACTGTTACCTCTGATGGAATAACTAAAACACACATTTCACCCAGTCCCTTTATCTGATTCTCCTCATCTCTTTTTCATGAGGGCTTGAAAAAAAAAGAAGAAGAAAATTGAGAGAAGGTGGGGAATGAGATAACAAGGGCAGAAACAGGCAACCAGCAACTTAGTTGCTCTATTCTCATGCTGATTTCCTTACCCTTTAAATTCATTTAATCTTTCAGGTTTTCAGCTATGCCCAACTCACTCCCAAATAACGTTTTACACAATAGATGAAGGGCTAAGAATTTTGCTTAGAATTGCAAAAGATAATGTGAGGTTAGCATATGGCTTATATTTAATTTTGGGAAATCACAAAAATCAGTTTTAAACCTTTCTGTGTGTGAACAAGGCATTCGTCACGCAGAGGAAAAATGGGATTTTGATTGATTGTATTTAGTCATTTGGCATTTCCAAGGTTTTAATAGGAAAAAGATGGTTTCTGGTAGGTTGTTATCTTATTTAACTCATTTTGCAAGTTTTTTCATTACATAATAAAAATTAATATATGTTGAACTTTCAAACTAAAATTGATTTCCCTATTGTTCCATAAAAATCACTCCATCCATGCCATGTTATCCAGCTGTCTATATTGCAGAAATTGCAAGACAGTCACGTAGAACAAATTATAGTAAAAATGGAGGGCTGTAGGAGAGAACTTATCATTCCTCCCCAATAAAAAATTATGTTTTACAACGGTAATGTCAACATCAGTATTTCTGAACACTGCTATTACTAAAAGAATGAATGCATTTGCTAGACAAGACAACTGAGGTTTGCTTTTTAAAATGTGGTGGTGGTGGTGGTGAAGTTATTTCAGTCATGTTTGACTTTTCGTGAACCCATCTGGGGTATCCAAAGATACTGGAGTGATTTGCCATTTCCTTCTCCAGCTCATTTTACAGATGACAAAACTGAAGCAAATAGGGTTAAGTGGCTTGCCGATGTTCACTTAAGTCACTTAAGTGTCAGGCCAGATTTGAACTCAGGAAATGAGTCTTCCTGATGCCAGGCCCAGCACGCTATCCACTGTACCACCTAGACAAAGAGTTCAAGGAGAGTTATACTGAGATTTATCTGAAAAGTTCATCAGTTCAGTACTGAGAAGATTATAGAATTGTATACTAGAATTGGAAGGGATGGATCTCAAAGATTATCTAGTTCAACTCTCTCATTTTATAAATGAGGAAACTGAGGCCCAAAGCACTTAAGTGACTTGCCCAAGTTCACACAATGGAAGAACTAAGGTTTGAACCCAGGTCTGCTGACTTTAAATCCAGTTTTCATTTCAGTTCATCATGCTACCCTAGGTCATATACTATGAAATAAAAATACAGTGAGACCACAGGAAATTTATATGAAAGTAAAAGTCTTCCTAAGGATTAATTTAGATTTTTTTTTACATCATAGAGAAATTAGAAAAATACTAATATCCCATCTGACAAATGGAACGCCACATAATGAGAGTGTCATAGTATTGCCTGAATCACATGTTCAATCTCTGCTTTCTGCCCTTTTCTATAAATTGGTTTTATCCTTGAATAAATGCTAAAAGTTAAAATTTGAACTACTGAGTATGATACTGGTAAGTAAACACCAAAGTAAAAGTAACAACACTAAACACAACATTGTATTTTTGTAGCAACCACTGGTGTTGTAAAGAGACACTGTACTTGGAAAAGGACCACGGTGATTCCTTATAACGATGTCTTAATTGGAAAAGACCTTTCAGATAATTGACTAGCGTTAAGTGTACCTATAACTGATGGGGTGCCAGGTGAGCCAACATATCCACCTCTCAAACCCGATTAATAGCTCAACTGAGGTACAGCCTAATGCTGTATTCAGCCTAATGGACCATTATCTTGCCTCCCAAAGCGACAGTCAAGCAGCAGACCCCGTTTCATCATTACCTGCATTTATTTAAGCAAACCAAGTGTTTAGGGATGGAAAATTAATGCTTTTATAAAGTTTCACAAATACAGAATGAAGAAAAGAATATCCATACCCAGAAGTGAGGGCATTTTTACACACAGTTCTACTTAAAGAAAACACTCAAAGGAAGCAAGCTGGAGCTACAGCAGGCGTACATCATCGGGCATTCTCATTTTAACAATCCATCGACCAATCCAAACGAACTGGTGCTTTGCTCCTAAACTGATCCTAATGACGACAGTTGCATTGAAGAGTGCGTTCAGTGACCACGATGGACATACATGATGTGAGACTCAACCGTTTGTTTTTAATGCCATTGCATGTTAGGCAGGGAAAAAAAAAAAACTATCATGTTACATTCACTGTGACATCAAATGAAACGTGATCTAGTTTGCATAGGTTAGTATTTGGGTTAGCATGATGTTGCTGTAGTCCACCAAGGCTTCAAGATTCACAGTGTAAAGGGAAAAGAACGTGAATTAAAGCATTTCTACTAAAATATATTTTAATAGCTGGTGTTAACAATCTGCATAACAAAAACCAAATTATGTCAACACATGACTTCATTCTGTAAGTCCCTCCATTCAAAAAACATTGTTTCCTTCTTAACTGCATGCCTTTTAAGCAAATACAGTTTTGCGAAAGAAAAAAAAAAAGCAGGATAACAAACTCAAATTCTACATACTTTAAAGCAAATATAAGCCAAACTGCCCAGTGGTTCCTTTTTGCTATTTTTTTTTTAATATCACATGGCAAAAACCAACAGATTATAGTTTCCACATCATGTCAACAGTACATTCAGTGCTATTTTCTGATGGTCCAGCAACCTGTCCGGTGCAATACCCAAGCACATGATTGTCATGCATTATCCTTTCATCTTCCAATACAATTTATTCTCAACAGCAAATGGATTACAACTTAAATCTAGTAGTAAACTTTATATTGTATATCAGACACAAAAAGCATAAGATATCCTCACAAATATATTGTAGTGAATCGCAGAGTTTGAGGGGGAACAGATGGTCCTGAGGCTTCTTCCAGACTTGTGGTATGGGGGTCCTGTAGTCTAAAGCATCTTGGAATAATTGCTACAGCTTATCTAAAGTCTTAGCTTTTTACATCAGCAGTAGTTAGCAATCGCCTGCAAAGAGCCCTGAAGGGCATATAGTACTTCAAAGAGCTACTTTCAGTTAGCATTTTTAATCTAATGTATATGTTTTACTACTAAGACAGTACTTAACTAAAGTTTTTGGTTTCCATATTTCATGTTACTCAGGACAGCCATAATCTAGCAACTTTTATAGGCCTACCTATCTACACAGGTTTTAGATTCTTAGAGGCAAAGAGCTGAAGGAGTTACGAAATCATGAAACAATTTTCTTCTCATGAAGTTAATTCTGCCAAATGCTTATGCCTCATAATTCTTTTGTCTAGGAGATACTAAAAATCCCCAAACCTAAAATTAACCCTTGTGTTAAAGAACTATAGGCATTTTAAGTCCCCAAGGAGCTCTCAAGGAAGAGATGGAAAAGTTTAAAAATGCCCTTCCATTTTTGAGTTCGAATCTTCGGAAAGTGAAATACAATTAGTTATTAATCCCAACATGGCTGGATGACAGAGAGAGCTCTTCTTTCTCCAGACTTTCCCATTTCTTAAAATACAAATCACACATGATATGAGCATTTCTATAGAATTGGCAACAGAAACTTGCTTGGTTTTCTTTCTAATGCCATGTGGACAAATGGGGGATAATCAACAAGGCACCCATTTTATTAAATCTATAATGAAATCTTATTCACTCTCTCCATATTTACACATGTGTGCTTTTAAAAGGTAACACACATTTTATTATTTTTGCCTTTAAAACATTCCAGTGGAGGTGAATGAATCTGAAATAGAGGGGTAACTTTAGTCACACTGCCTCTTTGAGAAGGGACTTCTCTCCAGTCTTTGAAATGCCCTGAAGCACAACAAAGACAGGTCAATCTGCGGTTTACAAAAAAAAAATAAATAAAAAAAGCAGGCAAAATAACATACTTTTTTTTAAGCTTATCACTTCACTTAATTGATGAGAGAAGCAAAAACACAGGTTGAGTAATGCCCTGCTACATTGGCAGGTCTACACAGGTGGTTCTGAGAATTGTGCTTCCATACTTTTGTATGTTCTGCTGAGCTCAGTGAGATGTGAGATATGAATCCCAACATTGCAAACTGTATTATGCTGCTAATTAGAGTTGATGATAACAACATGACAAAGGAGAATTCATTTTGCCACAGGTTAAAAATAGAAAGCTTTCCTAGATAAGAATTAGTAAAAACGTGTACTACAAAACCTCACTTACAACAGAAGAAATATGTCCTTGTTCACGTCATTCTCAAGAGAAAAAACGATTCACACACAGTTTTGAATTTTTGTTGTTGTTGTTCCTGGGAACCTTTAAAAACATATCAAACTGGTCAAGCTGCTTTTATCACTCTTGTAAATGTCCCTTGATTAGAAAGGTAGGGACATTCACTCTTTCTATTTTTTTTTTTTTTTTTGGTATGGTGCAGTCTTCTTTGACTCGATAAAATAGATGATTTATTCTTAACTTTGCTCTTTTGCTGTCAATGTTTTATATGAGAGATGTCACCAAGCTGGATTAGGATGGGGGAAGGGTGGTGGTGTCAAGTGGATCGTTAATAAAAAAGCAAATAGGAACACCAGGAATGTACCTTAAAATAAAGAAAGTACATTGTACACTGTGACGCTATAGAAAGAGTACTTTGGTATAAGATTTCTGTGTTTCTACTGTTTTTCTTGCTTCAGAGATACTTAGCGTCAGTACAAGATTTTGTAAACACGAACAACAATAATGAATTATGATCTTCAGAGTACACAGTATCTTGCTTTACCACATCTACAACACTGCCAATTAGTTCAATGCTGACGCTTGCCCCTTAATTACTGCTGGTTGGTATTACATGAATAATTATCTTGATTGATATCCAGATCTTATGTGAAGCTCAGAAATAGAAGACTGCATCTATGTGGATCCATGTGCACTCATGTAGGTGTTTACATTTTCTAAATTGGAGTTTTGAAACCACAGAATAAATATAAAATACCAAGTCTGTAGTCACTTTGTAGCCCTGATTCTAATGATCACTTAAAGTCAGTTTTCCTTGAGCATACCACATATGGGTTTGTAAAAATTATAGCCATTCTCTGCTTTGTTTGAAATTGCAGTTACCAAATGCTTTCTTCCTTTCCTATTTTGTTTTTATCACAGAAAATGGTCTATGTTGTGCCTTGGAATTTACATATTTACTTAACAATCAAATGGGAGCAAAAAGGCTTATTGCCTTTAGATTGGGTTTTTGTCAAAGCACAATCTTCAATTCAATTACATATTTAGGTTTCCCTTAGTCTGTGCCTGAATAACCCCCCAAAACAGCTGGTTGATTGTGTCAATTCAGCTAAATAACTTTCCAAGTCAATGACAAATGAAAACAGTCAAATTCATTATTAGATGATGTTATTACCACTCCAAACCCCATCCAAAATAAGCCTGATTGACTGAAATGTTCACTTTTCAAGTCTTATTGATGCCAAGTAGACATGATTAGATTGGAATACAGCTTATTGGTTTTCTTAATTCCACCATCTCCCCTAAGTGAGACAATACAGATTTTCAAAGGTCTAAAATCTCAACAGACATTTAACTATAGCCCCATAAGATTTGCAGTTAACAAGACATTTTTTCAGGCTTACTGTTACTTTAAAATTTCCAATACACTCTGTGCTACAGATATCCCCTCTAAATACTGTACATTTTACTAAATATTTGGAGAGTTTAAAAAATAAAGCATTAAGCAAAGCTTAGCATTGGTACAAAAAATCCAGATGTTCTTTGCGTATAATCTCACTGAAGGTGACAATAAACTGCAAAATCAGAACAAAATAAAATACAGGTGTATCCACACCTTGGTTCCTCTATTCAGCTTTTGGCTTCATGACACTGTAGAGTGGTACTAATTTGATGGGAATTTCTACTCATTTTCTGTGGGAAAAATCAGCCTTTGTGATCACTCCTCAACTAATGAGCAACTCATTGTGTCTATGCTGAAAATCACTAAAGAATTTCCTATTTCTACTCCCATCCTGCCACCCCCTGCCCAAATTAGGTCTAGAGGAGACATAACACAAAGTAGAAAGAGAATCCTTTTCTAACCAGTTTAGGTTGCTGAATTCCCATGCCAGAAGTCAAATGAGAAACACCCATTCATTATACCCTAAACAGAATCTCTGTCTTTCCATTAACTTTTTTTTTTGCAATTTTCAATACTTTTCATTCAAATTCAACTTTTCACCAGATCCTGTTAGTCTTTTTCCCCCTTAATATAGAAGCATTGTCAGTGAAAGCTGTTCAAGGAATACCTAAATTATTTATTTACTAGAATATAAGTCTATTTCCTAAGGTTGTAACTCTTTCAAAATTAGAATGTAGCACAGCAGAAGAATCTCAAGCAACTTTTTAAAATGTATTTTTTTTTCTCATGAGCTGGCAAATAGGAAGAATTTTTTTTAAATCAGCTATGCATTTGGCTGTTATGACAGGAATAATCAGCATGGTTATGGGCTGTGCAGTAATGCTGCATATGGTACATAAGCTTAAGCCTGCCTGCGGTAATCAGGGTAAAGGAGATTGGGAAAGGAAAATAGGCAGCATTTGAATTTAGGCCTTTGCAGAGTAGCTATGGAGTTATTTGGCCCTGACATTTTTTTGAGGCCAAGCAAATATTACATTTCTTTTTCCCTGAATTAGATTTAGGGGATAAATAATAGAAAGCAGAAAGGGAGTCTTAACCAGTTGGCCCTATCAAATGTAAGTGGCGGAAAGGGGCACACCTGGGAACGCATATGGAGAGCACAGATGCCATTGTGCCGAGGAATCTGGGAATCTTTTTATTGTGTGAGCAAAACTTTCTTTACCACTATGGCTACTGGATAAGACAATGTGATTTTAACCCGCCTATTCTCTACCAGTCCTTAACAATTTCCAACTAGATGATTACACCTGAATTTGGTACCTGCCTAATGAGTCTAAATTTAAACAGCTTGGAGATTACTGGATGTGCTTTTATTATACTAATGGACTGGATCTCTCATGATTCCAGAGTGACAGCTAAAAGGTCTTCCTTCACTTATCAGATCTGGAGGGAGAAGCAAGGCCTCTTTTCAATACCAGAAAAGTACATTTTACACAAGGGATTAGGAGTCAATCAGAAGAAAACATTAACACAGCTACCAGCACTAGATATCCAGTCACAGTCTAACTGAGTTGGTTGGTTTTTGGAATGATCTACTAGAATAGATCTACTGCTACTTCTGGCTGAGAGCCCATTCTTTCTTCCTGGGACCTGTGTGTCTATTTTTCAATTTAAGGACTGACTTATCTCAGTGATAAAATAGCTAATAAGTGGTCTTAAAAGTATCTTCCATCTTATTAAAAAGGTTAGGTTTTGGAATATATTAGAATAAAGCTCAAAGGGGAAGGAGGAGAAAGAATTAGTTAACAAACTCAATGTAATTGGCTGGAAGCATTCCAGTTTTCCCAGTTCTCTGCACAGTGCCATACATCCATCCATCATCGATGGGTTGCACGTTGACAATATAGTCACCATCCCTGAAGGAAACTTCATCTTCATCTTGAGCACTGTAATCGTACATTGCTCGGTAGGTCCTCTGTTAATGGAAAAGAAGGGATGTTCTCTGAGTACCAAGAGGTAAAATCATAGATAGATCAAGTGAAAAACTTGGGAGTCAAGAAGCAGCCCTGGACTGATAAGCTCCAGAGACCATAGGCAAGTCACTTTATCTTTCTAAGACTCAGTGTCCTCATTCATAAAATGGGGGATCATGATACTTATGGGTCCTGCCTCACAGTGTTGTTGTCAAATGATAACACACACATACATCCACATACAGTATCCCAAAAGTCTTAGAATACTTTTAAACTTTAGTAGCTTAAAACTGCTCTAAGGCTTTTGGGGCATTCTATATTTGTTTGCTTTGCAAGTTTTAATGCACTATATAAATACCAGTTATTTTGCTTTACTGAGCAATATATTGGGACTTCCAAAGACCTATGATTTCACCAATGGAGGAATTACCCTCATCCAACAACAGCTCTTTTTCTTCATTAGTAGATGGTCTTTATCTGTTGCTATGACCATTAAAAGGTATCTCCTCTCTCTCAGGACAATAGGTTACTGCCAGGCCTGCATTTAAAGTGTTCTGTTTTTGTGTTTTGGTTTTTTTTTTTTGGTTTTTGGTTTTTGTTTTTCCTGCTCCAAAGAACCTGCCAGAGTTTGTTCTCTGCTGGCATAGCCTTTGCAAATGCAGGGGCATCTCCCACAGCATGAGGGTAAGACTTTTCCTGGAAGTAGCCTTTAAAGTAACATTTCACTGAAGTTACTCCTGCAATATCGCTATCCTATCCTCATTACTACTACTAACAATACATATAGAATATAACACATATAGAATTTTAAAGCTTAGAAATGTGATCTCACTTTAGCTTCATTATGACCCTGGAAATTAGATACTACAGATATGACCCCTTCCATTTTACAGATTACGAAACTGAGGTTCACAGATATGAGTTGATTTGCCTACGGTCACACCTACAGAGGGGTAGGTGTCATAGCCAAGATCTGTATCCTAGTCTAGAACTGTATTTACTAAGTCACACTGGATCTCTAATGCTATCGAAACAACCACAGAAAGAAAGCATTTCTAGGAGTAGTTTCAAGTAGAACCATTTCTGCACCAGGTCAAACCAGACAGTAAATATTTGCAGACTCAGCACCTGGTAGATGTGACATTACCCTGGGGTCCTATCATGACAGTTGTAAAAGAATGTACAAAATTTAATTTCAACTCAACAAGCATTTAGTAGGTATTTACGAGGTGCCAAGAATTATGTTAGGGGCAAGAGATTCAAAGGATATATAAGATGATCTAAACTCAACAGCTAGCTTATTAAAATGTGAATTCAGAATAGGTAAGCCTTAAGATATGCATTCCCCAAATACATAAGAAAATAAACACTATCCCATTCCCAAATTAGATAATATACATAAAGTACTTTGTAAACCTTAAAGTGGTATATAAATGTCAACCTTAAAATGCTATAGAAATGCTGGTAATTATTATTGTTACTATTATTGGCATTAAAATTTATTCATCAAGATAATGTTTGTGGGACTGGGAAGCAATTTTATATTCAGTGCCTGTTCTGCCATTAATATATTGGGCTTTGCTTAAAAATTCTTCTACCTAGCACCTCCCCTTTCTCTCCTTTCATTTTATTCCAAGCCCTCAGCAATTTGACTTCAGAATTCTCAGTCAACTGAAACAGCTCTTTCCAAAGTGAACAATGACTTCTTAATTGCCAAATCTTCTGGCTTTTTCTCAGGCCTCAACTTCTTGACCACTCGACAGCACCTGACAATGGTGATTTCCCCGTTACAACCCTCACCTCCTGGACACTCTCTTCTCTCCGGACTGTTGTGGTCATGACTCTGCTCTTTCTCAGAGCCCTTCCTTAGGTGACCTCAGTCTCCTTCAATGAATCTTCATTTATGTCCCATTTGCTAATGGTGGGTATCCCACAAGGCTCTGTCCTGGGGCACTTTTCTCTATTAATGCTCTCATTTAGTGGGTTCAATGATCATTTTCGTGTAAATGATTACCAATTCTATATATTCAGCCTTAATCTTTCTCGTGAGGTCCAGTCTCAAATCACCAAATGCCAAATGGACAATTTGAACAGGCTGTCCCATAGGCATCTCAAACTGTTTTGCATCCCCAAAAGAGAACTGATTTCCACTTCCCCTTATACCCAGCTGTCTTCCTAATTTCCCATTATCAGGGGTACCTTACACACAAAAGTGGCTTTCCGGGCATCTGGATTAATGACCTTGATGTCATCCGTAACTCTTCACTTCAATTAACCCAATAGGTTGCCAGATTTTTAATTTACTTCTCCACATGTCTCATACATATCCCCTTCTTTCTATTCACATAGCCATTGCCTTAGTTCAGACACTCATCGCCTCTTGCCTGAACTATTGTAGCAGTCTTCCAGCAATTCTATTTGCCTCAAGTCTCTCCTCACTCCAATATGTCCTCCACACTTCTGCCAAAGCGATACTACTAAAGCATAGGTGTGGCCATGTCATTACTCTACTCAACAAATTTCAGCACAGTTTCCTATTACCCCCTAGGATTAAATATGAACACCTTATTGGCATTTAAAGTTCTCTACTATCTTTCTAGTTTTCTTAAATATCACTTCTCTCCACACATGCTCTGATACAGTCATACATGCTCACTTGATATTGCTCATAAATGGCCCATCAAGTTCCATACTGACTATTCCATATGCTTGAAACATTCTCCCTCTTCACCTTCTGGTCAAAGCAGATGCCTTCCTTCAAGACTCAGCTCAAATGTCACCTTCTCCAGGAGGCCTTTCTTAGTTCCTGCGGTTGCAAATAACTCTCCTCTAAGATTACTTTCCATTTACTCTGTATGTATATTGTACATCATACATATATTTTTTACCCTTACATTAAAATGCAAGCTCCTTGAGGGCGAGAAGTATTTTTGTGTTTTCTTTGTATCCTGAGGACTTAGCACAGTGTATGGCATGTGATAAATATTTAATAAGTGATTGTTTGATAGACTAATCAAATAGCCAATTATTCTTAGTATAATATATATAAAGAATCTATATTTTCTCAAGGAAGCTATGAAGTGAATCAAAAGAATTTCTGTGCACTCATGTGATTTATTACATATGTATATGTAATATATGTGTTGTTATATAGGATTATCCTTTTAGATCATTTATCTCCTTGGTATATGGAAGGAAAGAAGGAAGAAAGGGAGAAAAAGAAGGGAAGAAGGAAAAAATTGTTAAATGACTACTATGTGCTAGGCACTATGCTAAGTGCTTTATCAATATTATTTCATTTAGTCCTCACAATTCTGAGAATTAAGTGGTGTTATTATCTCCATTGTACATTTAAGGAAACTGAGGCAGACAGAGATTAAGCGACTTGCTCAAAGTCACACAACTGTCTGGGGCCAGAATCAGCTCAGGTCTTCCTCACTCCAGGCCGAGAACTTGATCCACTCAGCCACCTAACTGCCTCACGTAGCTACTATATGTAAGTATACCATAATATGCTAAATTTTCAAAGAGTCATTATAATCATTAGTGGTGTTCACAGTCCCTGAAGGATCACAAAATCATAGAATTTCAGCATTGAAAGGGACTTCAGAGAGCACCTAGTCCAACCAAGCCTTGAACAGAAATCTCCAGTACAATATCTAGGAGCAACAGTTATCCAGCCCCTGCTTGAGGACCACAAGTGAAAGGGAACCCACCACCCCCCAAGGTATCTCAGTCTGCCCTTGGTTGGATGGTTTTCCTGCTATCAAGTTTCAATTTGCCTCTGTAACTCCCACCCACTGCTCCAAGGTCTGCTCTCAGAATTCACTCAGTCAAATCAGATTCCTCTTCCACACGACAGTCCTCCTAATCCAGGCATCAAGGCAGGCATCCTAAAACAGCTTCCTCTCTTTTCCCTTGCTAAATGTCCCCAGTTCCTTCAAACAATGCCCAAAAGACATGAAGAATCCACCATCCTGGTTCCCATTCCCTAGGTGCTCTCTAAGGAGTGAGTGTATTTCCCTAAAGTTAGCTATTGATTCTTTCTACCCTCTGCAGGATTAGGTCCATTATGTTTCCATATCAGTCTTCAGGGTTGTAGAGAGATATAGTAGAAACAATACTGCACTGAGATTCAAACGATCTATTTTGTCTAACAAGATAGCTTTTGTAAAGTGTTTTGCAAGTCTTAAGGCACTATATAAATGCTAGCTGTTATTATCTTTAGTCTTTTTTTTTGCCATTGTGCTTCACTTCATAAAGACAGTGGACACATAAAACACCTTGAGATTTGCAAAAGGATAAATATGTGTGTATACACATATATACACATGGACATACACATGTACATATGTGTGTATATACATGTGTGTATATATACACGTGTGTATACACATATAAAATTTAATCTTCATAATTACTCAATGAGATGGGTAGTATGGGTATAACCCACTCCCTTACAGATGAGGAAACTGAGGCTCAGAACAAGTGATTTGGAATTTTAACCCATATCTCCCTGGACTGCAGGTCCTGGAGCTTTTGTACTACGTCACTCTTCCTCTCCCTCAGTTGTCTCACTTCACCTCTTCATGTGCTTCACTCAGATTTCATTCTGGATCAATTGACTAGTGTTCACCAACAGAAGCCTTTTGAAAAATTGGTGTCATGGGACAAAGGTAATGTTGCACTTGAAAATTTTTTAGATCACAGTGATAGAGGTAATAAAGATTTTTACACACTAAAAAAAGTAATATAATTGAATCCATGGTATATCAAGTGTTTTTAAACTGGGTTTTATTCTCTTTGTTAAAGCTAAAATTTTTTTTAAATGGCTAATGCTTTTGTTGTTGTTCAGGAGTTTTCAGTTATGTCTGACACTTTGTGATCTCATTTGGGGTTTTCTTGACAAAGATACTAGAGTATTTGCCATTACCTTCTCCAGCTCATTTTACAGATGAGGAAACTGAGGCAAACAGTGTGAAGTGACTTGCCCAGAGTCACACAGCTAGTGAGTGTCTGAGGCCACATTTGAACTCAGGAGGATGAGTCTTCCTGACTCCAGGCCTGGAACTCTACCCACTGTGCCACCTAGTTGCCAATGTTGGCTAATGCTAACAGTGGTCAATTAATCTCAATATCACCAGCATTAATTTGGACAAAATATTTCACGTATTAAGGAATTTCAGCTCAGTATAAAGAAGGTTTCCCTGCAGTGAGTTGAACAACAGGCTACCTCAAAAAAAAAAAAAAACACTAGGCTATAAGTACCACCAGAACAGGGATCTTGCCTTCTCCGTCTTCTCTCTCCCTCCCATAGATGGACAATGCTCTACGTGGAGAAATCATTAAAATCACTTGTTGAACTTGAAAACATAACATGCTGTTCATCACAGGAAGTGTCACAGAAAAGGAGGCTGCATGATCACACTTCAAGAATGGTGCAGAAAGGATTTCTACAATGAATAGGAGGTTGGCTTATCTCTACAATCTCTTTCAATTCAGAGACTCCTTGCATTTAATATCTGAGTATGTTCACAGGAAAGAGGTAAGAGGAAAAACAGATATTCCTCTTCCCCACAACATTCAGTCCTTAGTTACACAACTTAAATAGAGTTGAGATTAGCAAGCAAACAGATATATTTAGTATATTTTTCTTTTAGTCAACATATGCATGACAAACCTAAAGACCAAAGTGGGCTAATATCTACTAGAAAAAGAATGAGTCAGTTCATGAATTTATAAATTATATACGTACCAGACTTGGAGAGTGTTGCATTGATCTCATGGATGACACACTGGTCTGATGCATATACCCATAGCCTTGGGATTGGCTTTGTTGATAGGCCCCAGGAAGTACAGGGGCTGCATATTAAACACACACATACAAAAAAAAAATCATTACAGAGGATTTCACACATCCTTCCTGATTCCTCAGGTGACTTCCTAATCAGCAACCAACAACGAAAGCTGCTTTCGGAGATGAAATGCCATTTTTGATGATGGTGCAGTACTTAGATGTTCTCTTCAGATTAGTATATCAAACAAATAGGGAAGTCAGGCTCAGAAATTATGTTAACTGGATTAAAATGAAGATTTTAAAAAATTTGAAGTAGATAGAATTCAACCCATCAGGAAGCATGGGCTAACTTTACATCCTACTTCTTAGATAAATAAGTGGTCATTCTCAAAACTGCCAGTCACTAGCATCCCTATGGATTAGCTGATTACTATTCCAAAGTTATTAACAGTGATGTGAGTGTCTTAGTCAATTACGAGTGTGCTCCATTTAAAAGAAGCCCTTTACACACGACACCAATCTCCTGGAAATAATAAATGGTTCAGGCAAAAGCAGACGCTTATGTTTTGTGGGGGTTTTACTTAAATTACTTAGATACTTTGAAGGATCCTCAATTTCATCAGTCCAGATAATCCCTTTACTGATGTCGAACGCAATCATTCCGGGTCAGCTTCTTATCCTTTGCATTTCTTGTCCATGTTTTCACACAAATTGTGCAGAGTAATTGCCTGAATGCCTGAACTTTATGTTGATTCAGCCTATGACATCTAAGCAAAATGACAATACTAAAAATGCTAGAAACATTTTGAAATTTTCTAGGTATTCTTTCATCCCCTTAATCAGAATAGTGTTCACTTAGCTAATAAGCATCTCTTCCCCCTATACTCCTTTCATTAATCAGATTGTTTGCTCAGTTCACATGCAGGTTGTCCCCAAAGTCTTAAATCGGTTATAAGTGATTAAATCTTAAAACTGTGCTAAGACTTTTGGGACATCTTGTATACACTCATTCTCCACACTATTAAAAAATGAAATTCAAAAAATATGGTACCTACTCTGAAGGATGTCAAATTCTAGAGAAACTAACACAGAACTCAGAAACAGAAAATGCTGCCACCATTGATATATCTTTACCTCTACCTTTTTTTCACATTTTCCTGAGAGCCTCAGCAGAATTTCAAATTGATGTTTTACATTGTATTATGATACGTGTATTCCAGCATGTCACGTGTGAGCTCTGTAGGAACTCCTGATCTGAAAATGACACCAGGCTGGAAGGGAGAGCTCACATACTCTCCCTAGACATGTTCAAGATTCAAAAAACATTTTCTAATGGGCTAACATGTTGGACAAAATCAAATGCATCAAGTGTCATCTCTTCCAACAGGCCTTTTCTGATTTCCTGAGTTTAGTTCCTTTCCCTACATATACCCTGAAATCTTTTTTTTCCCTGCATGCCATTCTTCCTTCCTCCCTCCTTCCATTCCTTCCTTCCCTCTCTTTCTTTCTTCCTCCTTCCCTCATTTCCTCTTTCTCGTCCTCCCTCCCTCCCTTCCTTCTTTCCTCTCTTTCTTTCTAGCCTGGGTCTCCCAGGACTGAAGTCCATCCACACTGAAAGTACTGTGGCCATTCATGGACTCAATCCCAATGCTGATTGGTATAGAAGCCTTAGCCTGATCCATTTTTCTGACCTGGGTTGGTTCATCTTCCTTAGGTGACCCCCCCATTCCAGGGGCTCATCATACTCATCATGTTATTGCTAATGGATTGACTTTAGGCTTTCTGGAATTCAGAATTCTCAGACTCAAGTGATTCACCAACCTTAGCCTCCCTGAGTAGCAAGGATCACAGGTTTGTGCCATCATACCCCGCCATATTAATTTTCTATATATCTAGGATGTATTCATCTATTAACACACTGTATTCTAACCCCACTCCCCCCCACACAAACACATACCTAAGTAGACCATAACCTTATTATAGGAAGGGACTTTTCAATGTTTCTACTTGCATTTACAGAGCTTAGCACAATATATAGTATATAGGAAACTCTTATCCGATCAATCCTTATTGACTGATCGAAAATAAATTTTAATACCGGTAAATTTCAAGTCTTACACTTGGCATTCAAAAACTCAACTCCATGTATACAAGATGAGGCAGGTCTGGCTATATAACAGCTCATCCCAAAAAAGATCTGCAGGTATGGGCAACTGAAAACTAAGTGGGAGTCAACAATGAGAAAGCCCCAAACTAAAAGTCGTCCTGGGCTGCAAAAATAGAAGAATATTCAGAACAATGTCTTCCTGTATTCAGTACTGGTTAGAGTCCACATGGCACATTATGTTCAGTGCCAGGTATCACATTTTAGGAAAGATATCGTTAAGCTGGAGAAGATTCAGAAGGTGACCAGCATACTGAAGAGCCCTGCAATCTTCCAAATGAGATCTGGTAGAAGGAACTGAGAATGTTTAGCCAGGGCAAGAAAAGACTGAGGGAAAACATAAGAATTTTCCTCAAGTATGGAAAGGTTGTCTGTCATGCAGAAGATGGTTTATAATTGTTCCATGTGGTCTCCTTTGCTAGAACTAGAAATAATGAGTGGAAGTCACAAAAAGGCGAAAGGCAAAAAGTTCAGTTCCATGTAAGAAAAAAATTTCCTGAAAATGAGAACAATTCCAAAGTGGAATGGGATGCCCCAGGTAGAGGTAGATGCCCGCCCTTCTGGAAATCTTTAAGCAAGGGCTGACCATTTCTCAAAGATGTTGCAAAATGGATTCTCAACCAAGTATATGTTAGACTAGAAAGCCTAGGTTCCCTATCACTATAAGACTCTGGAATCGACAAGCAACCAATCTGAAACTCGTGTTATACATGGTAAAAATCTTCAAGTAGACTGAGTCTTGAAACAGACTGGGGGAAGGTGAGCAATGTGAGGGGAAAAGGGGCATCTATATGTGTATCTAGAAGCACATTTTCAGTTACCTACGATGAAGGCATTTGTTGTCCTCCACATTCATGCTCTCAACTATTGTATGGTACATTAATGATATGGATGCTATATATGCAACTGATGATTGTTGTCGCTCTGTCGTTTCAGTCACATCTGATTCTCTGTGACTCCATTTGGGTTTTCTTGGCAAAGACACTGGAGTGGTTTGCCACTTCCTTCTCCAGCTAATTTGATAGATGTGGAAACTGAGGCAAACATGTTAAGTCATTTGCCCACGGTCACACAGCCAGTAAGTGTCTGAGGCTGAATTTGAACTCATGAAGATGAGTCTTCCTGACTCCAGGACCAGTGCTTTATCTACTGCACCACCTAGCTGCCTGCCATTGATGGCAGTCTATGATATCAGACCATATTTTAAAGTGTTTGGTAAATGAAGTAGAGTTAATGTGCTGATTTATTGTGTACAGGTTTATAACATGAAGCAACTGACAAGTGTGATTCTGGGATGTTGTTAATAATGAATATTTTGTACGTGGCAAGTTCATTCTGGTGAAATATGAGAGCATGAATACTTTAAAGCAGTTTAATCATAAGAAAATTACAGCTCATTAATGTGTTCTCCAGATGATCATGATATTAAGTGGTTAGAGGGTTTTTTTTTCCAATCCTTCGGATAATCTATATGTCAGTGATGTTATAAATTATTTTTAAATGACCAGGCATGCCACAAAGAAGAAAATGGCAAGAACTATCATATTATGAAGTTATTGAAAGACCATCTCGAGAACCTTTGGAAATAATATCTTACCATTAACAACCAAATTATAAAATATGCAGTAAAATACAAAGCATATCATTAAAATCTTTTCACTTTAAGAATACCTGTTTAAAAACTATAAATATAAAAGAGTTCCTTCATCAATTAGGTAAAAAGGAACATATACATAATAAATATGCATATATTATATACAAAAGAATAAAATACAGAACATTCCAGAAGTCTTCATGCAGTTTTAAACTTTAATAACTATTTATTTATATCAAAGCTTTCTATTATATTAAAACTTTTATTTTAGGGGCAGCTAGGTGGCACAATGGAGTACCGGCCCTGTATTCAGGAGGACCTGAGTTCAAATCTGACCTCAGACACAAAACACTTACTAACTGTGTGACCCTGGGCAAGTCAATTGCCTAGACAAAAAAAAAAAAACCTTTTATTTTAAAGCTATCTGTTAATTTTATATTAACTTTATGCATATATTATTTATATTAATAAGTATTAAAGCTTAAAATTATACTAAGACTTTTGGGACACTGGATTAGCCAGATATAGATATAAACAGATATACACACAAACATGCATATTATATGTACTCATATGGGATGGAGGCAGCCACTATTAATTCAACCATCCATTCACTTGACAGATACTGAGTACTTGTGTGAACAATGCATAGTGTTCAGGGAGGCAAATACTATATTTCTCTTAATATAGCCTAAAATCATACAAGATATTTTTGGCTGTCATATTATATTACTGACTCATATTGAGCTTTTAGTCCAGTAAAAATGCTAAAAAAAAATTGGCAGCACTAATTTCTAGTCATAGACATACCCCATTTTGTATTTGTGAAGATAATTTTTTTTCAAATCCAATTGGAAGATTTTACTTTTATTCCTATTAAATTTAATCTTTAGATTTGGTCAATATTCTAGCCAACCAAAATACAAAATATTTACGAACAGGGCAGCTAGGTGGCGCAGTAGATAGAGGACCAGCCCTGGAGTCAGGAGGACCTGAGTACAAATCCGACCTCAGACACTTGACACTCACTAGCTGTGTGGCCCTGGGCAAGTCACTGAACCACATTGCCTAGCCAAAAAAAAAAAAAAAAGATTTATGAACCCTGGATCTATCATCACTCAGTGTGTTAGCTAACCTCCCAGCTTTATGTCACTTGTAAATTTAGTAACCATGCCATCCATATTTTTATGCAAGTTATTGAACAAAACATTACATCACAGTGAATAATAACAATTCCAGGAACCTCTACTGAAGACCACCTTTTGAGTTCACCCTGAACCAATAATCATTATTTTTTATATCTTGAC